CACTCTTTCCTCTCCTTGCTTTTTTGTTTTCTTACCATCTTATGCCGATGATAATCAGGTTGTAGTTCACTCCATGTTTTTCCTCGTTCCCCTAGAAGCAGAGAGATTCCATTATATGGCTTTGATTTCAGCTGTTTCTCAGTTTTGTTATTTCGTAGTTTGTAGAAATAATGAATTGGGAACAACGATTGCTACCAACTTGGAGGGTATTATTGTGAGCAGGCCTTTTGAGGTGCTGCCTTCCAGGCTGATTTGCACAAACAATTACTCTATTTCATGTTACGATAGAAGTTGTTTTTAATAAAAGCAGTGCTGTGCGCTTAATGTGTTAGGGATAACACATGTTTAACTTTGTCTTTTGCAGTATGCTGTGAAGAAGCCTTTTGCTGTACTGTATAAAAAGTAAGTGGTCTCACTTTGACATCTCTGAGTCTTCTGACAAGGCAGCTTTTGCTGATTTCACAGCATGAGTAGAGATGCTGGCTGGCGTGGGGGCTGGAACAACGGAAGGGGTTGCAAAAGGTGACTGAGATGCGTCATAAATTTCAGTAGACTGGAAACAAGCAACACGTGGTCAGTGTTGGTGCTGAGCCCGGTTCTTTGCCAAGTGTTACGGAGCAGGATTCAGCGAACTTGGACGGTTGGCCTCTCTGACAGATATGTGCAAACAGCTAGTGAGGTTCAGCGTCTGGTGGGTAGGCTGGAGTTCTTCTATCCAAATTCTTACAAATTTTGGTTACGAATTGTAATGGCAGGTAAGTCTTGCTCTAAATGGGAGCCCAGTATCTGTGTGGATGTAGTGCAGAGACGTTAATTGTAATAGCTAAATTTAACTTTGGATGAACAGGAAAAGACGGTTGTTTACGAAGTGTCACTGGTGGTGGTGGTGGTCTGGAAGTCAGGCACCAGGAGACACAAAATGTGGAAGAAAGTATTTAAAATGGCGGCGGCGGCACTGAGGAACTCCTGGCAGTGTTAACGCGGCTTACGGTTTGAACTAAATCTGAACCTCTGCTGCTGGAGTTTCCAGTAGAATGCAGAATCTTAATGTCGTCAGAGAACTAAGTAGAAGTGCTTATCTGGGCCTGTTCTTTATTTATTTATTTGTTTGTTTGTTTATTTATTTATTTATCCTCAGGAAAAATATTACCCGTCCGTTTGAGGATCAAACATCATTGGTAAATATAAACCACATCTTCCCTTATGATATTTTACAGCCTTAAATTCATGAAGCACTTTATTGGAGGATAATTTTCTATTACTCTGTGAGGAATTAGATGAGAAACAAAGTTCATAGGGAGTTTGGGTGAGCTGAAGGTAGGCCATGTCTAGATTAATGGTGTCAGTAGGCGTATTTTTCCTCTGGCTGCAAGACAGAATTGTCATGTTGTGAGGACTTTGTCTTTACCATAAATGCATGTTTCTGTAAACTGACAGGCAAATTCAGGAGTCTGTAGCACTGTTACAAGTAACTGCTTGATATGAAAGGAAGAATAAAGCATTTTATTTCAGTTTTCTAAAAGTCAGTCTTCTAAAGTGACATAGCTTATGAACAGCTTGTTTTCAGTTTGGTCAATTCATAGGTTAAAATGGTTAAATGGAGGGGTCGTAGCTTTCTGTGACTTCCTCGTGTTTGAAAAGAGGAAGGAAAGCCCAGCAGAATACCACATGCAAACACGTGCATCCGCTGTGCAAGTGAGAGATGGTCGCTGAGAGTTCTGTTCCAACATCGAGTCAAGCACTGTCAGAAAAATGTGCAATTTCAGTTAAGTGTGTGTATTTGGCCTGCAAAGAGGTTGCAAAAGTGGCCCTTCAGAGGCTTGGAGGGTATTTTGGAAGGGGAGGGGCAGTGTTTGGAAATACATTTGGTGATATGCCCCTGTCTAGATTTGGTGTTGATTCAGTGCTTTAAGGTCAAGATGATTTATGAGTAGGAGGCAAAAAATAGAGGGGCTAATCCTAAGATAGATCTCACACATTTGCACTTCAATCAAAGCATAACTTTAACTGCTGAAATATGTCTGCCATAAAAGCAGTACATGTATTTCCTTCAACAGAATGAGAGAAAGGAGATAGCGATGGGCAGCTGTGGTTTTACAATAAAGACAGAAATGAATTATCCCCAAAAAAGTTGTTTGTTTCCCCGTCATCATGATTTGTTAGTGTTTGCTCTGTGCTGCTGCTGACTCACATAGGGAAATAAGGGTCAGCTTTCCAGTGCGTAAGGCAGTTGTTGAAATAACTCGCTGAAAATGCACGCTGAAATTGGGAATTTGGGAGTATTGTACTGAGTGAATCTATGTGTGAAGAACAGGAAAAAAAAAATCCATTTGTACACACCAGGCACAAATGCACTTTCTTGTCTGAAAGGGATTGTGAAAGTAAAGGGTCAAACATTTCTAAGGAGTTCTCTGTAAATAAAAAGGGAGAGGAGAGGAGGGGAGAGAGAGCGAAGTCTGTGAAAAACAGAAGTTAAGAAGTGAAGGCAGCCAGTGTGTTAGGAACAAAAATTCATTGTGGTTGCAGCATAGATACACCAACGTGGAAAGTTACTCAATCTGCATTGGTACTGATACTGAGGTGTTGCAGTATGTGCTTCTGTTCTGTCCTTGGCATGAAGCACCGTAATGCAGCCATCCATAAAATATCTGGAGTGGAATGGAAAACTTACTGTAGGCAGCGAGGAAAGATTTGTGATGTTGTTTGCTGAAACTAAACCCCTTACAGTCCCATGGCTGGATGACTTGGCTGCACAGTCGCTGATCATCAGCTGACCACTGGTTTAAACTTCTGATAATTTCTGGGAAAACAGGCGGCTAAAATTGTTCCAATATTTTAAAAGGGGGCCCTGAAGGGAACTTTAATTCTTGTAACCTCAGAACAATGGGATTGGGTCATTGAGAGCAGTGTGAACAAATATCAGTGGCTAGAAAGGTGTGGAAAGTCAAATCAAGTTAGGTGATAGTTGGTTTGTTTTTAACTTGGTTACAGGCATTTTTTTTTAAAGGGCAATTTTGCAATGTGTGTGATGATGCAGTATAGGCAGGACACATTTGAGGTATTTGAGTTTGTTGCATCTTTTTAATAAAATATGCAGTTGTTAGAGAATTTACATATATCAACACACGATGGTTAATAGAGCTGTGTGAACAAGTGCTTCAAGGGGAGTCCCCTCTGGTCTGTTCTTGATCTGTGTGCAGTCAGTATTTTTCAGGGGCGTGGTGGCAGAGCTCAGTGCTGAGCTGCGCGATTTGTGTGTGCAGTTAATCCAGCCTGGGACTGCTCCTGGGGGTGTCTCTGCTGACCCCCCAGAGGGGCAGAGCTGCAGTGTCCTCTCTGAGCTGCTGCTGCAGGGGCATGAGGAGATGTAGGAGCCTTTTCTGCTTCACAGCTGCTAAGTGCAGGTATAGAAACTCTGGTACCTCTGAGAAGTGCTGGATAAATAGTGTGTGTGTGTATGTGTGTATCTAGGAACCACGGTTGATAGCCAGAATGGGGGGCTGCCTTGAGAAGCAGCAGTGCATAAAAAGGCTTTGGAGGTGGACACCCTCAGAAAGAATTGCTGCAGTGTTGGCTCTGGACGTAATACCATAGTAGGTTCTCCATCTATTCTGCCTGCAGAGAAGGTCATCTCTATGATGGTCACCACTGGCATCATTTTAAGTAGCATCTTAGTCTTAAATAATAAATTGACATGGAGTTGGTGTGTGGTAGAACTCTCATGCTGGAGTGTGCGAACATTAGATACTTGCAGATGTTCCCAGGCTTGCTGTTGATGGAATTCACTGGTTGTTCAGAAGCTGTTAGGCAAAGCTAATTTGCTGCATAAAGCTTAGCTGGGTAACTAAAATGAGGCGTTACAACTGCAGCCAACTTGCAAATACTTACCTTCAACCACTTCTCCTTGCCTGAAGACTATCTTGGGTAAAAACAAATAATGAGGAATTATGAAAAAGGGCATTACAGATAAAATGTCAAGAAAAAGTTGCCTGGCTTGATCTTTAAGGCTGCAATGGGAAATAAAAAACAGAATGAATTGTTATTTGAACCTTGAATCCAGCTGTCAATTTTAGCTTATGTGGACCTGAACGTGCTCAAAACTCTTCTGCTAAGTGCAGTTGCGCTCTCATTCAGCAGCTCCTGAACTCAGCTGTTTGTGGCATATACCTTTACCAAATACTTTAAACGTGGCAAACTGGCACTCATTAGTTTTGTTCTTTGCCCCAATTGCAGGAATTTTTTTCCAAGAAATCAGATTGTTCTTTGTTCCTGTTTGGCTCTCATAACAAGAAGCGACCTAACAACCTGATAATAGGTAAGATGTCTCACATGGGTTTTTATTGGGATGAAAGGTGTAATTTTCAATGAATATTTGAATGGTTGGATTTTCTTTTTTTTCACTTTCACAGGTCGCATGTTTGACTATCACGTCCTAGACATGATTGAGCTAGGCATTGAGAACTTTGTGTCCCTAAAAGATGTCAAGGTAAGGAATGGCTGATTCAGTACTGCAGTGACATCTGCTGGTGGATTTTTGTGGTGCATTGGCTTTTTTGATGCACTGGCTTTTTTGGTGCTTTGAAGTAGGGACAAGAGGTGTTTAAAATAGTGTTTCATTCAGTATGTGAGGATTGCTAACTTGTGTACCCCAGAATGTTATCTTTATGCTCTGCTTTTTATTTGATTTTGGTTGTTTTGAGAAAGCTTGCAACTTTCTTTGCAAATTCTTTTTTTAGACTTGGTTTATTCCTAATATTTTCCTTTTGTAAATGTAATGCTTTAATTAAAATTTTCCTTAGTTGTTTTCAGCTTGTGGTAGGTTCCTATGTAAACTGGCATAGGCTTTGAAAACTGAAATCCCTCTTCTCAAATTATAACCAAATAGGGTTGCTCTGCTGACTGAGGTGATTCTGAAACTTTCTTTAGCTTTCAGTAGCACATAAATGCCAGGGAACTGTACTTAATTCAGACAGGGAACTAACATCCTGATTATTCAAACCTAGAGAAAATTCACCTTTTATGGCTATGTTAGGCTCAGTTTAGCACGACTAAAACGTGTGTCGTGTGTACTTTTGTATCAAGCAGTTCATACACTGCAAAACCAAGGAATGTATGGTCCTTATGCTCCTCACAGTGTATAAATTGGCAGAACAGTCTAGAGGGGTAGTGAAGAAATTACAGTTTACAAAGGTGAATCTTTCCCTTGAAGTCAGATTGTAGTGTATATCTTCATAACACTGGTTACACCAGGGACGTTATAGTTAAGTAAATGTATTTGTTGGCCAGAATTAAAATCAGGTGATTGACTAACCTATTCTTTTAGCCTTTTTCATGTACTCTTCAGTGTCAGAAGTACCATAGACTTGTTTGCCTCTAATTTCTGTTTTCTTGTTAGTTGCAGTCAAATTGACTCATTTTCAGCAGAAGGTGTTTTCTTATACATTTCATAGTAAATAATCTCGTTTTTAATCCAGCACAAAGAATAGTACAATTCACCCTTTTAAAAACAAAGTCCTTCCACACACATACAGTGGTGTTCAATGAAAAAAGGGTCTGTTCTGTCCGTATTGATCGTAGGTCACAACAATTTTTCATTCAATGTTGAGTAGCTAACCACCTGTTAAGTTAATAGTGTGTTCCCTAACACGGTCTGAATTTTTGTTCAGTTTTAAAATTCTTATTCCACAGAACAGTAAATGTCCTGAAGGAACAAAACCTATGTTGATATTTGCTGGTGACATGTTTGATGTCAGTGAAGAATACAGAAGACTGAAGAGCCTTCTTATTGGTCAGTATTTTGGTTATTTGAGCAGTAGGATTGCATAAATGTGTGGTAATAGGATCTGTTGGGAAATGCTGGTTTGTCAATAAATCTTTGGTTATGTTCAGCACAGAAAGGAAACAAGAGGTGCTTGTAAGTTTCATGTCACATGAAATTAAGGTTAATTAATCATCATGACTTGAGGGGGGGAGGGAAAGACTAACCTAAAAGTTTGAAACTTTGTGTTCACTAAAATTCATGACCTTGATTATGGGGAAAATTCTGGCATTTTTGTAAAAGTCTTTACCTTGTAGTTGTACTGGATCATCGCTTTTCTAACCAAATAATATTTTTCAAGTATCTAATTCGAAATCAGTGGGTTAAGTTCAGATTGTGGGATATTCTTGCTTACAAAAAAGTCAGATCAGTATAATTGAGCTTGTGTTTTTAAATGAAAGCATTTTCTGGTGGAAATTTGACCAATTTAACAAAAGTGCCATTGATTAGATTGCTTGGAAAGAATATATGTAGTAAAAAGCAGCTGTAGATAATAGCTGTGTCGTAACTTCAAGGCAGACTTGGAGCTTAGTAAACAAATTGGCATGAAGTTTTTTACTGTCTCAAGGTTGGAGGCTCTGGAAGATAAAGCACATCGCATTTTTTTCTGGGGAACTGCAAAAAATAATTATACTTGTCTTAGGGTTTTTTTGGCACGTAGAAGTCATTTGGTACTGTATCTCTTGATACTTACAAATGCGTGTTGCTTGGTAGAACTGGATCTAGTAAGTAGGGTGGTGTGTGGTGTGTTTTTAATAGTAGGTTTTCTAAAAGTAGACTTTTTTTTCTTTTTTTTTCCTTCTTTCTTTCCTTTTTTTTTTTTTCTTTTTTTTTTTTTTTTTTTTTTTTTTTTTTTTTTTTTTAAAATAAAAAATTTGTTTAAAATACTGAAACTGGCCCAGTAAGAACAGTCTTGTTCTTTCAGTTCCATTCTTGGGTCATACCAATTTATAATCTTACAGTTTTGCAAGATCTCCCTTTCATATAAAATAAATATTCTTTGGGCTCTGTTTTTTTCTAGGCAAACAGATAAATGATTGCTCTTTAGAAACAGACCTTAAAAGTAAGATTTGGGTTTTTTTTTCCCTTAGTGTTCTAGTTCCTTAAAGCAAGATGCTTCATCTAGAATGAGCAGGAGAGGAAAAAATTTGCGTCCTCTCAATACAGCTGTCTGGTTCTTGAGGATAGATGAAAGGCTAGTAACTAGTAATTGAATATGAAGTTAGGTGAGTTTTAATACTGCGTGTTTGCGTCACTCTCAGTGAATATTTACACTGTAGGAAGCAGGTGCATTATCTTCTGAAGCATATTTTGTTCAGGCATCTGCACAGTGTTGCTGATTGGCATCCAGATGTGCTCTTCCACCCCATGATCAAACAGCTTGATACCTTAAGTGGAAGACATGCTTCGTTAGACAGCTGCCAAATAACGAACTGGTCTTTCCTGTCCTGTTTTTGTTGATGTTCATCTGTCCTTTCTCCTCTGTTATTTATTTGTCTCTAATGACTGTAGTCAAATGTACTCAAATCGACATCCAATCTTTCTTCTTGAATGTGCGCCAGGTACTCCAGGTCTTAATGTTCTGCTGACTTCTATGAAATACCTAGATGCAGAGCGGTAGACAAAGGAAAAGGTTAAGGAGTGTAAAGGCTTGAAGGTATCGCCAACCAATTAAAAACGTTTGGGTAATAATTTGACCTGCTTCAAAACTGCTCTTAACTGCTAGGGAAGAACTGACCTTTTCTATTTCTGCAAAGGATAGTGCTTATAAGCTGCCACTGTGTCCCTAAGAAAGATAGAAAAATGTCTTTATAACAACAACAGCAAATATTTTGTTACTGTAGCAGTATTGTTGGGATCCCAGGGGGAATATTAGATAGCTGACATCTTGTTGCCAAAGCAATGTGGTGCCAGTGATGCTGGTGAACAACGCAGCTTTCATTGGCTTTTGTGGTATCAAAAGGGTTTATGCGTGTTTGGAATATCATCTTACAGCAGTTCCTTGTAAAATTAAAGGCTAGGGTGAGTTATTGTCTTCATGGTAACCAAACTCTATAGTCCACTTAAATTGTGAAATGGAAGAAGTGATTTAAGAGAAATAAATGGCAGCTGCATTTTTCTTCAGAGACCTGGAAGACAAAGACATTGCGTTCTTTCTCTTTTGGTTTTCATAGCCTACTGATGTGGTAATGTAGGAATTAATTTATGATGAAAGTCCTTGGAATGCATTTTATGAACTTCTAATAACTTTTTATGCTTGTATTTATAAAATGTTTCGTCTCTTACAGCACTGCCTGCTTGCTAGTTCCTTTCTTGCACACCCATTTAATCCTAAAAATGGCTAGGCACTATGTGACTTGCTTACACGCTTTCTAAAATGTTGGTTTCCAGGAGACGTCTACAACTTTAGATTGACCGTCAGCTTGTTCTTCATACAGCCTTCCTCACACAGACTTTTTTGAGTGTCTCAAAAGCTTTGTGTGTTCCTTCTGGCCGAGACAGGGGATGAGTAGGAAATACCTGGGATAGAGTTTGAACTCCGGTAATGCTAACGGTAGCTACATAGGTTACAGTGTTACCAGCTTTTGGATACAAATTGATACGAAATAAAGTGTATAGACTCATGTTCCAAAATAATTTAGGAATTTGATTTGGAAATGGAAAGGTCCTGTGAAGCTCTCTGCAGGAAAAAGTAAATTAGAAGTTCTGGAAACATGTTGAGAACAAGGAGGAGAAAGAACTGGGAATGGAAAGAAAGAGAAAGCAAGTCTCTAGTCCAACCAAAGCAAGAGTTTTGTAAATTAAGAGTACATTAAAAAAACCTTAAACTCTCTGGGTATACTGAAGTGTAAGGTTTCTGCAGCTGTTCAGCATTGCCAGAAAACAGAAATTCCTGACCACCTGCATTTGTTGGAAGAGATCATCCTGTGGGTAAAAAAGATGTGTGATGCCACAGGAAAATATGAAAGGGAGATGCTGCCAGGAAAACCACTGTAAATGTAAGCTTGTGTACCCGCAGAGTAGGTCGAAGGGAAAATACATGCCAGCAGCGAACAAAATATTTTATTTGCAACAAGCTCACCCCATAAGAGGAGAAGAGAGAGTATTTAACTGGCCAAGGAAATTTCCTGGCCAGACTCCAGCTGATAGCCGCCAGCAAGACTTTGTTTTGGATGTCAGTGCAGTGCTGGTACTCTTGAAAAAGGTGGTGGAGGAAAAGACAGCTAGCCGAGGGATCTGAAAATGGGACGGAACGGAAGAGGCTGATGTGTTTTGCATCTGTTAGCTGTTCTCCGATGTTTCAGCATTGCCCTGTCATGTTTATTAGCACACCTTGTTCCCTCAGTCAAGGTCACGTTCTTTCTCCACCCTCTGCATATGTTGGACAGATTGCTGTGCTTATTGCAAGCTTGCTGATTGCACAGTGTTTTTTTCATAGCCTGGTAGAAGAACCTCACTAGAGGCGGCTCATTTTGTATTTAACCTGTATTTCAATGTTCTCTTTGCAAACTAAGCAAGTATTTCAGGTGTCATATTTCTATGGGTACGTGTTGCTTATTAAATAAACAATTGTAGTGACAAATACTGCTTTACCTGAAGGACAGAAGTGCTTTGTTGGGCCAGAGGTGTGAAAGAAACGATGTATGTACCTAAACTTTTTCTCCAAGTCAGGGAGAGAAATGTAGGTAAGAGTAGACAAGACACAGTTTCAGTCTGTTTTGTACTAGTTCTGATTCTTCTTTGTACTCTTCCAAAACTGGCTCTGATTAAGGATCTTAAGTGTCAGTTTTTTGAATGATAATGATCTTTAAGTAGATACCTGAACTCATGGCTTCTCTGTATTGATCTATGTTTAGCTGAGCATGAACTGGCCTAAACACAGAAGAAGATACATTTCATTTTTCTGACTTCAGAGCTGAATATTCAGAAGAATAGACAATGCAATTTCCCCTGTTAGCTTAATAAAGCGAAGTTGCTGCTCTGAAAGTATATTTGCTCTTCATGCACTTACTTTTAGGTAGCATGTGTATTACTACCAAATGATCTCTGGGGAGTCACTGTGTTCCTGTCAGGATTCCTGCACACGTTTGGTTTCACCAGTGCAGGAGCGAACACATGCACTCTTCAGCTTCTCTCCTGTGTTTTGGCAGGGCTATAGTTTTAAGTAGTGGCTATTTTATGAGTTTTCCATTAAACGTACAGGTTCGGCTTTGCTAGAGCCATCCCACGTATAGCCTTGCTTAGTTAATCCAGTAAAAAAAAAAATCTGCATAGGCAAGGAGTTCACATCAGTGATGTGTGCGGGTCCATTATGACATAAACTCGTTTGTTGTAGTCACCTGTTGGTTTGATTTGCAGCCAAGAAACCTGGCATTTATTCTCTTTTTAAATATTCTTTCAGATTTCTTCAGAGGTCCTAGTGTGCCTAGTATTCGTCTGGCTGGTTTAGAGTATGTTCTGCATTTCACAGCTGTAGGGGGGAAAATTTACATGCGAAGCTACAAGTGAGTATGTTTTATCTATGTGTTTGCATTTTGGTACACTTGTCAACTTTTCCCCAAATTTAGCCTGTAGTTGTGTAGTTGAACTGGCTTGTGCAATAGTTTGCTACATTTAAAACATGTAAGGTGTGTAGAGGTGTTCCAGCATAATGCAGAGGAACTTGTACAGCAGAAGGAAAACACTTGAGCCCTGAGCATACTGCTTCCTCGCTTGCTGAGCTCCGCTTCCAGCTAGGAGGATTGCTCTTTCATCTGGTCGGATTAGTAAGGTGGTGTGAATTAACTTCATAGACTCAGTCTGTTCTCAGGCTGATTTCTAGGACTCTCCTCGCTTCGGTGTTTGTCAGAAAATGACAGGTGGTAGGCTGCAGTCAGTGATACACAGGGAAAAACAGCAAAAGGCAGGACAAGGCAATCTCTTTTTGCTGCGTTGGTCTTCACCCTGGCAGTTCATGGTCTTGCTTTAGGAGGCTGTGAGCATTCATAGCTTGTGTTCCATGCGATTTTGATTTATCACAAAATCGCTTCTATCAGTCTCTTTCTTCAAAACAAACAGATTTCTTGGCTACTTTTTAGGTTATTTTGCTGTAAACGATAGTAAATATTTTTCATGTCTGTTAATACCCAGGGCACTATTCTGAATTTGAGGAGTGATACGGCTTTCAGGGTACTGGGACTGAGTTTCAACAGTAATACTGGTAACACTGGTCTCATCTGAAAAAAAAAAAAAGTTATATTAGACAGGTTATATTTTGGGTGTGTACAAATTGTGATGGGACAGATTTAATATATTACAAATTGTTACTGACAGACGTCTTTCTCAGTAGTAGTTAGCGGTAGCAGTTGTTTTTAATAGTCTTCCAAACTGCAGGATTGAGCCTGCCCTTTAGGAAGATGGATAAATCTTTATTACAGAGGACAGTGGTGATTTTGGTTATTTTTCCCATCTAGGGTGCTGCTGAAGAAATCTGGCTGTAAAATACCAAGAATTGAACTGGAAGAGATGGGACCTTCATTAGATCTGGTTATGAGGAGAACGCACTTAGCTTCAGATGACCTTTATAAGCTGTCTTTAAAAGAACCGAAAGCCCTGAAGGTGCGTATGTACCTTGGAAAGTATGTTACTTGCAGAGCTATCTATGAAGAAGAGCAAAAGCTGAAGTATTAATGATTGTATATTTGATCAAAGCTTACTTTTGTATAGGCCAACTGAGATTTCTGGGGCCACAGCACTGTTGTGGTGATCAGCTGGCATGCAAACTCTCCTCTGGAAGCATATAGAACATACAGAACAAATCTGAATCTCCTAAGCTGCAAACAACCAGCCTTGCTTTTAGGCACTTGTTTCTCACCAGAGCTCCTGGCACTCTCTACTCAGAAATACTAATGTCGTTCTTCCCTTACAGCCTAAGAAGAAAAAGAATATCTCCCATGATGTGTTCGGAACAACTTACGGTCGAATCCACATGCAGAAGCAAGATCTTGGTAAACTGCAGACGCGCAAAATGAAAGGGTTAAAAAAGAGGCCAGCAGAGAAGTCAGCTGAAGATGGTGGGGTTAGTCCCAAAAAGTCAAAATCAGCTTGATAGTCTGGAACAGCTTTGGAAACTCTTTGTAGCTTCAAATTTAGTATATATGTATTGTAATATAAATGTGTCAGATGTAAAAGACTCAGCTGCTGTTAGCTTTGGTTTTATAAAAAAAAAAAAAGTTTTTAATGGTTTGTAACTTTAAAGGGAACCTGGGGGTATTGAGCTTTAACATGGAACTTGGTTGTTTAAAATAAAAAATGCGATATAACTTGCTTGGTTTTCCGAAGCTGAGTATTTATTCTCTTGGTGTTAGCAAACATACGCTGGTCAAGCAGGTGATTCATTTCCCGAACAGTTTTATGGCTGTTATGGGGGGAACCCTTGATCAACCAACTCATCTTATAAATTCTGCACGGGACCAGAGTAGTGTATATGCGTAATATACACAACACAACTTCTCTGTTCATTTGTTGTTTATGTATTTCAGTTTCTGCACAACTGCAGTAGTCAGTAAACTATAAACCATTTTTTGAAGTGTGAACTTGGAATGTGTGTCTGTTGCCAGACTCTGTTTTTAACTATTGCACCAAGCCCTGCTCTACACTTGCGGGATCGGGAGTGATGAAGGTGTGTTTACTGTGTTCATCACCATGGTACCGAAGTGCCTGATGTTTGCTTTAGGCATAAATGAAACCTTTACAGTTTGAATTTCCATCTTTGATGCTTGATTTGTGCCCAGAATGGAAGTTTGTGAAGCAACTATATGAAAGGTACAGGTCTTGTCTTCTTACCCTGTTTTCCTCCTAAGCTTGTGCTCGTGAGCTAGTGAAGACTCAGTTAAAGATTTAGGTAAAAGGGGATGAGAGTGTAAGAGCTTAGTGAGACTTTGGTGTGGTGTTCTATGTTTTTGGAACATACTGGAAAACCTGGGTTGTTTTCTTCTGCTTGTCTCTTTGGAAGCTATTACTCTGCCCTGTTAGCATAATTATGATACAAATGTACATCGTGAACACAGCAAGCTTCCTCATCCTAGTTATATTTTTAATACTTTATCTTTTCCTGTTAGTTTCCTCAATGTAATCAGCTGAAGTGTCACATTAGAAATAAGGGGGGTTGTTATTTTCTCTTGTCTTCTGCATCCTGGATGGAAGTGGCTGGCCAGCTTTGCTCTCCCCGTGTGGGAGCCGAGCTGCAAATGTGGCTGTGCAAGTGCCACACCTGATGTTCTTGCTGTGCTGGTTTGATAAAACTTGTAATGTGAAAAAGAAAGGGCTTTAAAAGTTTGGTATCTTTTTGAGGACACAAACATTTATCTTCAATGTATTATATTTTTTTGTATTACTTTTTTTTACTTTACTTTTTAATTCTTTAATTAACTTTTTAATACTTTACTTTTTAATTCAATGTATTACTTTTTTTTTTGTATCATTACGCAAAATAAACGGCATGGCTCTCTAAATCCTTTTCTCTGATCTATAAGCATCTGTTTGAGACATTGATAATTCCAAAAGCTACTTCAGATTTGTATTTCCCACCATATCTTTCTGAAGTACAAATCACTACGCTTTTGACTGAAAGTCATGTTTGGTAACAGCTGTAGAATAATGGTACTAATGGGCATGCCATCTTTTATGAACTTACAAAAGTAATAGTAAAAGACTATTAATTTTTTAAAAGACGGCATGCCCATAGCCGTAAAAAACTGAGTTGTATTTTCTTAACTAATTTTGGTGCTTAATTTTGTGTTGAAAAACTGAATTTCGAAGCGGTAATGTGGACCATCTAACATGCTGTTAGCTCTTCAAGTAAAAAGTGAGATAGTTATTCAGCAGTAGCCCTCGGAGCTAAGCTGTTGCATCCTGGCGTTGGTTTTGTTCGGTGCTGCTGCGGGCTTGCTCCTTGTCTGAGGAGGAATCTGGGACGGGTGAGGGCTGCTACCCCTGCTGACAGCGGAGCGTGGTCGCTGCGCAGCTTCGGAGCGGCGCAGGGGTCAGGAGATCGGTCAGTGGGGAGAACCCCCGGGCATTTATTCACTCTTCGCGGGGTGCTTTGTCTCTGCCGATGAGAGGTGGAACCTGAAGTGCCTGGTGCCCCGCACCTGGGGCTCTTCTTGTGAACAGCCCTTTGTCCTTGCTGTTTGTGCTTGTGAAGTACAGCCACATGGTGGACAAAATGCATTAGATACATGAGGCAAGGAGACGTTCTCCTGGATATAGCATAAAGGTCATAGAATTATTAACATTGGAAAAGACCTCTAAGATCATCAAGTCCAACCATCAACCCAACACCACCATGCCTGCTAAACCATGTCCTGAACAGGATGTTTAGGCTATGCTTTTTCATACTAATCACTTTCAATTTATGTTGTTAGCAAGGATTAAAGCTTGCTGCATTTCTGATAAATGCTTTGTACTACTCAAAGTGGTGCCATTTTGGTGCAAACTCTGAGAGGGAAGCGGAAATGCTCTCTTGTTTTGTTCTCAGGGCAGAAATGAGCCACTCTGATCTCTGTATGGCAGGACAGGATGAAGCCAAATTAGCAACTGAATTCACTCCATTTCTTTCAGGGAAGTTTCAACCTTGCTGTGAAGCAATGAGTGAGCCACAAGGCTGGTGGCTTCTGTGATTTCAGATGTACAGCGTGTACAACCACACCTCTGTCTGGCAGGCAGTTGCTACATCCTGAGTATCTGATTTAACTCAAGGTGAGCGGAGATAGGAGGGCTAAATATAACCTTTCCAGTGGCATGTTCTCATTTCCCAGAGTCTTTTAAAGTGTGAGGAAATTCGCCAGGTGCTGCAATGGAGCTGTGTGCCTGGGGAACAGAACACGCGGTGCTCAACAGGCAGCTGGTGAAAGGGACTTGCCTTGCCTCAATTGCCCCTTGCTTCCACAGTTCACCAGGCTCTGAAAACGTGTAAACATGGCCCCGGGGTCTGCGTGGCACGGGCGAGGCGTAGCTGGCATGTTCACCCCCTTGCTTTGGTTTTCATCTTCTTGCCTCCCAGTGTGTTGAGTGTAGTAACGAGTTCGGTTTCAAGAAAATTGCCGTGGGCAAAGCGTGGCTCCCAAGGCTGTACCTGTGTGGTAAAATGGAAATGGAGCTGCAAATCAGCAGCCAAGCCTGTGCTGCCTTTAGTCTAGCTGGCAGGGTGGCAAGGGCAGGGAGGGTACGATTGGTACCTTCTGTGGACCCTCGGTTTCTGTGCTGACGTTGCCCAGCTGTGCCACAGGCTGCTTCGTTGCTGCTGTTAGCTAGGCTACTGTCGTTACAGGCAGCTAATGATACACGTAGAATTTATAGTCTACCTGCACTATAAGTTTCCTTGGCTCTTACTTAAAAAACTAGGAAGAGAGGTAGATACTATGTTGAGTGGCGCGATGTGCTCGGCTCTTGGGATTCCCAGGTTTCTGGGAGTCGGTCCTGGGCACATACCATCACAGGCTTAGCTCTCTGCCAGTGCAACGTAATGAACTGAGCACTGAGAGCACAACGAGTGGTGCGTGTTTGAAACGAGCAAGTGAACTCCTTTCTGTTTCCTGGATTTTGTGGGTTTGAGTTTATCTTTACGGTTCCTTAGCAACCTTATTTGTTTTCACGAAGCGCTTTCTGGATTTGACTGTGAGGGTTTCCCTCCCCCACTGGCTTGGTTGCAGCTGGGGAGGGTTAGAAAAGAGCATGAAGGGAGGACAGTTAAACGTGGCAGAAATACCAGTATCGTGCTGGCTGCTGCATCCCCCAGCCAGGGGAAAAAGGCTGGCCGTTGTTTGCTCCAGATGCTGTCAAATAGAAGGGGCTAAGGAGACTAGGGCAGAACGGTGTGTGAGGCGTTTTCATTATTAAAGAGAGGGAAGTGGAAAATCTTAGCTGTGCGTAAGATACACAACATAGCCATACATAACACATACTAACATGTGTATTACACGTGGTGCAGCTAGTTCCCCTCTGTCTCCAGTGCAATTTTTCTACTCCTTTTGGAGTTTGCAAAAGTGCCTCTGGCAGTACTGACACATCCCAGATGCGATCCAAAGACATAGCTGGGAATCAGGTCAGTTGTAACAGAAGTCAGGTTGCCTAAAAATATACCAGGAAAAGAGACACGAGGCTCCTGAATGTGAAGCCCGTGTAGGATTGCCTTCCTACATGGAAGAATATTCAAAATGAACAGTATGGCTAACACCGTACAGGAAGAACAGCTTTGCTGTAACGCATCTGTGCAGAAGATAAGGAGCAGGAGCTGGCAAAGACATTTTAGAAGGACGTAGGGTTTCTGAGGGACCTACCTGAGGAGGTTGGGAATTGGTTATCTTGGAGATCATGGTAGGTTGGAGGGACCTAAGTGCTGTGTGGGCAAAGAAGTGAAGATGGACGTTGGGGGAGGAAAATTTATAGGTAATCTGCGATTCAGCCCTATCCTAAATAACATGGGAGTCATTTACTTGGAGCAATTGGTGAATGCAGTCGACGTATGCTGACTGAGGAAGTTCTAAGGCGCTGTTCCTCATTTGCTCTTGTTTTCTTTGACTTACAGTCATATTCTGTCAACTTGATCTTTTTATTTTCTTCCCCTGCTTCTTTAAGATAAGCACAAAGTAGTTCAGAGGAAGTAGAGGTAAAGTTTTGAGCAGAACTTAACAGAAATCATGTCTAGTTAATGACATTCCCCCAAATTCTCATTATGGTCCCTCTTTCCCCCTTGATAACCATAGAATCACAGAATGCTTTGGGTTGGAAGGGACCTTTTAAAGGTCATCTAGTCCACCCCCCCTGCAGTAAGCAGGGACATCTTCAAATACACCAGGTTGCTCAGAGCCACGTCCAACTCGGCCGTGAATGTTTCCAGTGATGGGGCATCTGCCACCTCTCTGGGCAACCTGTTCCAGTGCCTCACCACCCTCTTTGCAAAAAAAAATTTTTCTTTATATCCAATCTGAATCTACCTGCTTTTAGTTTAAAACTATTACCCCTTGTCCTATCGCAACAGGCCCTGCTAAAAACCCTGTCCCCATCTTTTAAGTACTGGAAGGCTGCTAGAAGGTCTCCCTGGAGCCTTCTCTTCTCCAGGCTGAACAGCCCCAACTCTCTCAGTCTTTCCTCACAGGAGAGGTGTTCCATCCCTCTGGACGTCTTTGTGGCCCTCCTCTGGACCTGCTTAATAATAATAATCCCATAATTCTTCCTGTGATGCAACATAACACCTACAAAATCTGGCTTTCTCATTCTGTCCATGAGACAGAAGTATGCCCATGTGACCCTAACTGTCTCCTGGTTTGATTGCTGC